CCAAAAATTTTTTTGCCAGCGCTGTTTTTTTTTTTTTTTTTTTTTAGTTTTCTTCGCTATCAGCTGCCCCTAGTGGATGAGTATTTAATTGTTCTGCCTGCATTGACATTGACGGATTAACAAAGGAAAAATTTAAAAATTTAGCGTTTTTTTTTTTTTTTTACTTTTACAGGTCATTTATCTTAGTTCACGCGAACGACCCGGCTCTTTTTAATTTTAGGACCAATTGTGGCCGGCGAGTCCAAAAGCACTAACCGCTACTCTGTTCAAGGGGCTAAAAATAGCCTTCGTCATAATCATCCTCAAACTTCTTTCAGAGCCTTTATTAATAGGTCTGTGTGTAGGTTGTTTGTTCTTGTACTGTCAGGAGAGAGAAGCTTCCTCTGCTCCTCCCAGGCACCTCCTCCTCCTCCTCCTCCTTCTTCTTCTTCTCCTGCTCTTATTCACTGACCACAGCTGCTTCACTCATTTGGACCAACTTTGACATTGTCCATTGTACGAGCCTGTCTCTGTATGTGTGTACTGTATATCTCATTGTGTCAGTGTGTGTGTGTTGGGGGGGTGGAGGTGGACTGTTGGTGGCCAGTCTGAACAGTACAAGGAAGCTCAGGTTACTCATTCCTCACAGACTTAGGGCTTACTTTTTTTTTTTGGTCTCACACTCACCAATAGGAGACACCGATGAGATGCTGCTGCCACTGCTGTTGCTCCTGCACAGACTATTTATAGAGCACTTCTGGCCTACTTGGCAACAGGAAGGAGATGAAGACTAGGAGAGGAACTATGGAGGCCAAGGAAGGATGGAATAGAAAAATAGAACAGCAAACTGGAGCAAAGTCACTTCTGCTGGTGTCGCGCACCGAGCAGGGAGGAAGAAAAAAAAAAATTATGTTAAGTTCCACTTTTAGACTTTGAGAGCTGTAAATAGAATCCTGACTTGCGGACTGACACTAAACTTTCCTCTCTGTCAGTCAATCTGTATATGGACTTTCTCCTTTTCCTCTCTTTTCGGTATCCTCCGGCTGTTTGTTGCCTACTTGTCAGTTCGGATTTACTCTTTGAAACGAGTCGTTCCGAAATAGAAAAGGACTTACTGGTAGTGGTTGAGTGTGCTATGGAAGCCTGTCTGGACATTTTGTATAAGAGAACCAGTAAAACCCGCCGTTCGTGAACCGAAAAGTTTAAAAACTGAAACAATTTTCCCCATAGGAATCAATGGTTTTATCCGATCCGATCCAAAATTTTTCTACAGTATCTTTCGGAAACCAATGGAAATAATTAGATCTAACAAAAAAACAAAAAACTAACACAACTGAATAAAGAATAAAGTCAGGAACAGGAAAAGCCAGAAAATTTCATTCATTCTTACCGGTGCTGAGGAGTCGCGATTGCGCAACGTCCGCTCCGCTTTCTCACAAATGATTCTCTCCAAAACACTTGTCGCCGGTTGATCCAAATCTGTAGCAACTTGTTTCACTTCTTCTGCTTGGTGATCGCAGTGACTCCTTTGGCAACCGTAGCTTCTTTTTTTGCTTCCTCGTTGTTAATGGTGGTACAAATCGAGCAACCGTAGCTTCTTTTATTGCTTCCTCGTTGTTAATGATGGTACAAATCGGCGACTGCTAAGCTAGATCTGAAACACGGGATTTGGGATTTATGAAATAAAAAAAATAGAATAGGCCTGTGGTAATTTTTAGTTTAAAATCGTGTTCGACATTTAAAGGGTGTTTTGTCCCATTTCAAAGCTTGGTTTGAGCTTAAGCTGCCCATGCCTCACTGTTGACCTAGTGACCTTCCGATTTGGGTTAATGCATAAACCTGATTTAGATGGGTTAGGGTTAAATAATGAGAAAGCATTAAAGCCTGATTTATCCCCCAGGCACTTTAGGAACTGATGACTTACAAGAAGCTGTTTTTTTTTTTTCCTCCACCGTTGAGGAGAATGTTTAAAAAAATGTAATCTCCTCCGTTGAGTTATGAGAATGTGGATGAATTTAACGACGTAAATGATTCCAGATTATTAAAAGGTAACAGTAAGTATAAAAAGGACACTTTTTTTCAGCAGCAAACAAAATAATGCGCTGTCCTAAATTAAGCTACAAAACTAAAGTCAACCCGTTTTCAATCAGTCAGCGCCAGGCGCCAAGTGGTGACAACTCAAATTCTTGAAGGACCATACCAAAAACTACCTAACCCAGGCATGGGCAACCTAAGGCCCGGGGGCCGGATGCGGCCCGTTCAGCTTTTTATTCCGGCCCGCCAAACTTTTCCAAATTCTATAATTTATTGATATTATCATTATACTTCTGCTTTTTTCCTGCAGTACCCACGTTTCCCCAATAGGTGGCGTAAAAACGATAAAACGAAAAAAACAGTGGTCACTAAGGCTAGGTGTTGTGGCCGTGCTTCGGCATCAGAGCTCGCGGCTTCCTCGTGCCGTACGACTGAATGGATGGAAGTCCTCGGTCGAACAACTCGTAGCTAGATATTTCTTCAAATCACAAGGAAAATCTTGCAGTAATTGCAGATCCGGAACTAAGCTGCCCATGCTTCACTGTTGACCTAGCGACCTCCGATTTGGGTTAATGCATAAACCTGATTTAGATGGATTGTTGCTGTGTTAACAGTGGGAGTTTCTGTGTCCAGTTGGTCAATGGGAAGCCGTTTAATTCGGAACTGCAGCGACCGGCTAATGACTCAATTCCTCTCAATTCTCAATTCCTCTGAGAAGTGTTTGTCCATCACCCGTCCATCAGTCATCACGAGATGTTTGTTAAGATTTCCGCTCT